GGGAGGATCAGACATAGTAGAAATGTGCTGTCTTCCAGATCTGGAGGTGGTAAAAAGTCTGAAATGAAGGGCCTGGCAGGACCACATGCCCTCTGATGTCTGTATCTAAGGGAGGCTCCTCCTCCTCTTCTTTCACAGCTTCATGGTTTCCAGGGGTCCTTGTCCCTGGGTTCATGGCCACAGCGCTTGCTCTGCTCTGCCTTCAGACCTCCTTCTTCACTGTGAATATTGGAGTACCCTCCTTTCCTTTTTATAAGGGCACTGGTCTTTGGATTTAGGACCCATCCTAATTCATTACAACTCCCTTTAACTCATTACATCCTATAGACTCTGTATCCAAATGAAGCCCTGATCTGAGATTGCAGGCGGAAATGCATTGGGGTGGAGGCACGATGAATACCAGTGCATTTCAAAAACATCATGCTGTTAAAAATGAATTCTGTTCCTCACCTCAAGGAGGCCATGTTTGACTTTATTCTCCAATGGCTCTCATCTCTACTGTATCTCACTCATTCTACTGAGAGTTACACAAACATATACCTTGACAAAAGAATGTCTAGAACAATTGGCCCCCTCTGATGCTCTTCCCTCCCTTTCTTTCTCCCTTTCCTTTCTCTTTTTTCTGCTTAAGACAGGGTCTCCCTACCTGAACTGGTGATCTTCCTGCCAGCACAGGGTCAAGGTCTGCTCATGAGATGTGTAGGAAGGCTTCTCTTTGGCTCATGAGATGTGTAGGAAGGCTTCTCTTTGGACTGGGACTCCTGTACCAGCAGCACCCTGATGTCCAGGACTAAGCTCCAGCATCAGCCTCGTGGGAACATTGGTATCCTCAGGTGCTGGACGTGAGGGCAGGGTCAGGAGACCCATATTAGTTGAAGCTAAGAGGCACTCCATGGGTACTTACTTCGGAAACAGAAAACAAGGAAAAAACAACAAAGGGTAAGCAAATACAGCAGTGGTGCTCACTAGACAGTATGTTGAAAATGAACTACGTAATTTGTGGGTAGAGATGGAAGGGAAAAATGGAAGACAGTGAGGAAAAAGGTGTATTGTCCAAAAATAAATGTAATCTTTACCAGACTTATGGAACTGTAACCCCTCTGTACAACACCTTTATAATAATAAAAGAACAAAAGTGGGGCTAGGAAAGTGGCTCAGTGGTAGAGCGCTTGCTTTGCATGCCTGAGGCCCTGGGTTCGATTCCTCAGCACCACATAAAGAAAAAAGCCAGAAGTGGCGCTGTGGCTCAAGTGGTAGAGCGTTAGCCTTGAGCTGAAGAGCTGAGGGACAGCGCCCAGGCCCAGAGTTCAGGCCCGATGACCGGACCCAAAAAATAAATAAAAAAAAATAAAAGAACAAAAGTGACGGTCTGTAAACCAGAAAGATCCTACCAAAACCTAACCAGGTAGGCCCCCTGGGTCCAAACCATTGAAAGATGCAGCATACACCAGCCCAAGTTAAGCCACAAAGTATTATCAAACTCATTTAGACCTAGCAACTCTCAATACCAAAGGCAAGTTTTCAATAAAAGATCATTGAATACATGGAGTTCAATTGTTAAATGATGTTGGGAACACTGAAAAGCATTTTTTCTCCATGCTAGGTGCCAGAGGCTTATGCCTGTAATTCTAGCTACTCTGGAGATAGAGATCTGTGGATCGTGGTTTGAAGTCAGCTTGGACAGAAAAATCTGTCAACAAGCCATATTATTCTGGAAGACAAGGGGAAAAGAGATTCTAGAAGATCATGTGGTTAGTGTGGTGGATGATACACACTGAAACATGCCAGTGTGGAGGTGAGGGTGACTTGGGACAGAAGCTTTGCTGGTAGAGGGTAGGGGATGGGTGGAAGTGTAATTTGGGTGAGTTCTAGAGGCAACACTGAGACTACAGATGACTAAAATTATGCTGGACATTGAAGGAGATGAGACAGATGATGCAGAGTTTTTGTCACTTTTTTTTTTTAAGGAAGAAGAAATAGCTGGACATTAGTAACTCATGCCTGTAATTCTAAGTCTTCAATAAGCTGAGAATGGGAGGACCATGGTTCAAAGCTGGGTTGGGCAGAAAACTTCAGGAAACCCCTTCTGATGTCATAGCTGGGCATGGTAGTGAGCTTTCATCTCCAGCTATATGGGAGACTGGAATGGGGAGGAACATAGAACCAGGCCAGCCTAGGCAGAAAAGTCCAAGAGATTCCCTCTCCATAGAGGGAGATTGGATGTGGTGGTATATGCCTGTGATCCCAACAACAGGGAGCCTAAAAGTAGGTGGGTGCTAACCTATGTGCAACTTATCCTCAAATAAACCAGTGACAAACAAAGCTGGAGGAATGGCTCGTGGCATACTGAGGAGAGGTTCATCTAGCAAGGTACAAGTGTACTGCCAAAAAAAAGGGAGAGAGCATGTTTGCATTTGGATGAAACCAACTCAATATTGAGAAACCAATGGTGCAGGACAAAGGAACCATTATGATAGAGAAAAGCTTTCTTGGAAAGAAGAGTAAAGATTCCCAGACCCATAAAACCAAGAACAGACTGAAAAAAAAAATTAGGTGGGTTTTTTTTTTTTAGAACTTTGGAACATAACCAAAGGCTACAACAATCCTACAAGCACTTTCTGAAGTTTTTTAAAAAAGCTGGGCATCAGTGTGAACAATGGGCTTTGTGGAATTTTAACTAGAGCTATTCCCACAGCTCTCTCTAGTGGTATTGAGAGCATCTCAGCCTGGAAGCCACTGGGATCAGAATGATTTTTAAGCTTGAGGAAAAAAAAAATACCATCCTCAGGAAACTGCCCTTATATGACTTACCTGAAAATTTCCTGGAAAAAAAATTTTGTTTTTTGGGTCCGATCGTGGGGCCTGAACTTTGGGCCTGGGCACTGTCCCTCAGCTCTTCAGCTCAAGGCTAGGGTTCTACCACTTGAGCCACAGCGCCACTTCCGGCTTTTTTCTTTTTGCTTATGTGGTGCTGAGGAATCGAACCCAGGGCCTCAGGCATGCAAGGCACTCTACCACTGAGTCACCTTCCCAGCCCTCCTGGAAAATACTTACTTGTTTACTTGACCAAGATTGTTGACTCCAGCTTGCTATGAACTGCCTATCTCTGGACAGTTGGTCAAAATTTGTTTTGCATTGCATCTATCTGGTACGGTAGTAGTTATTGGAACACATGAATGAACAAAGACATTTTTAATTAGTAAATAAGATGGGAAGAAGGCACTTTGGATGGCTTCAAATAATTCTGGGAACTGGAAGGCCACACATGAATTAAAGACTGTGTGCACATCCAGGAAAGACCTAGGAAGGCTCTGGTGTCTCACTCTGGCTGGTCAAGGGGCTTGGAGTACACAGCAACTGAGGATCAAAGTCAAGTTGTTAACTGGCCGGTAGACCAGTCTCAGCAGTGGTCAAACATGATTAAGAACACAAACATCACTTGGAGAAGAGGAATATGACTGGGGCTGGGAAGGTGGCTCAGTGGTAGAGCGCTTGCCTTGCATGCCTGAGGCCCTGGGTTCGATTCCTCAGCACCACATAAGCAAAAAAGAAAAAAGCTGGAAGTGGCGCTGTGGCTCAAGTGGTAGAGTGCTAGCCTTGAGCTGAAGAGCTGAGGGACAGCGCCCAGGCCCAGAGTTCAGGCCCCACGACTGGGGAAAAAAAAAAAAAAAGAGGAATATGACTTCAGATTTCTCTGAACTTTAGAAAAATTTATTTGGACCATATGATAACCCTATCACTGTTAAGTCTAACCTTTACTTTCCTGATATAGCAAATAAAACAAGACAGAAGTTGCTTTCAACACTGTGACACTATTTTCTTACACTTAAGATACCCCAAAGAAGAATAAAGATTTAAAAACAAGAGAAAAAAGAAACAATGAAAACAATAGTCTTTCCCTGTGTTTACAGACCTTAGTTTTGTTCTTTTTTTTTAATCTCCCAGTCAAAACAACCACACACACCTCTTGAATTCTTACAGTGAGGATTGAACATAATTGTGAAAAACATTTCTTTCCCAAACTGCCAGAGATAGATCTTAAAGAAAGATCATAACACATTACACAAAATTAAAAACATGTCATTTCTTCTCTTGAAAAAAACATTCATGAATTTGGTCCATGACCCCAAAAAACTTTGCTTTTATGAGAATTTGTTTACATATGTACACACGCATATTTTTGTAAGTTTTGCTTAATAAACGATGTTGGTATTTGCCCACTAACACTTCAGGGTCAATGTATTTTAAGTTCCAGGTCTGTTGAAAACCTTAATTTATAAAATACAAATCCTTTTTCTTCAGCATGCCAATGTCGGAGTTAGTGTGTCCATGAACTCAGCTGAATACAGTTCTCTATGATAATATGGAAGCAACAATATGTAACCCAAAACATTGAATGACATTCAAATCTTCAAAAGCAAACTGGGATGGAATACACTGTTCTTTACAATATGTTGCCAGCACAGCTAGAGATTTCTAGATGATGTGCAGATTCTTTTGATGACTGGTGACTGCTGCAGTAGACCTTAAACAACAAACTCTTTAATCTTAGCCAAAACAACAGCTCTAAAATGGCACTGCTCTAACCACTATCAACATAAGATTTTTATAAAACTGTCCCCAAGTCAATTTATTTGATACAGCCTTTAATCCAAGCATGGTGCAATCTCGGCACTTGGGAGGCTGACAAAATTACTCCTATAAATTTGAAGACAGCCTAAGTTAAACATGCCCACTCCCCAACCAAAATGTTTTGGTCAAGTAAGAGACCTGTGAAAACAGCACATACATTGTTGGAAAAACTTAATCTTGAACACAAGCAGTTTGGTCAGTAGATTAACTTCAACTAATAGTAACAAAAGGGAAGCTGACGTTCCTTAAATCTCCAGTTTGATGTACTCACTCATTCAGTCAAGACTGCAGGAGGTTCTTCATTTACTCTCAAAGGTGTGGCAGCACTCAGAAAGTATCACACCGCGCCACTCGGCAAAATACCAAGGTCACTGGCTGTTTTCTTCCGCACCGCCTTTGCCACCGGCGCCCCTCTCGCAGTTACTGTTTGCTCGGCACATGGTGCAGGAGGGCTCTCTAAATGCCTCGAAGAAGAGCTTCATGGCTTCCTGGTGTCTGGAACACATCTCCTGCTCTCTCCCCCTGTGGACCAGATGATCGCCAGGGCACATCTGGCGGATTATCTGCACCATGTTGCCTAGCTGCAGGTTAGGACGGAGGTTGCGGCGCGTGAAGGTCTGCTGGCACTGGGGACAGGTGAACTTGCGAGCAGAGGGCGGGGAAGAAGACAGGTCGCTGTCAGAGCTCAGGTATTCCTCCTCGTACTCCATAGCGTCCAAGGCATCCATGAACTCTTCAGGATAGATGGTGATTCTCAGGTCGCGTCCCAGGGCGTCGCCGCCGCCGCCGTCACTGCTGGGGCTTCCAGGCTGGTGTCTGTCTGCGGCAGCCGGGCCGGCGTCGCCCTCGTTCCCGCCGACCTGCGCCCCGGCACCGGCCTGGTTCTGGAGGGCGCCTTCTCGAGAATCCCCCAGGTAGAACACCTCGCGAAGGGAGCCATCCAACCCGCCAACGGCCCCCCTCTCCTCCTCCACTTCCTCCTCCTCCACCACCACTTCCTCCTCCTCCACCACCACTTCCTCCTCCTCCACCACCACTTCCTCCCCCTCCACCACTTCCTCCTCCTCCTCCGAGTCCCCCTCTTCCTCTTCCCTCTCCGACTCGGACTCCGAGTCCTCCTCCGACTCCGAGTCCTCCCACTCGTCATCACCCTCCTCACCCCACAGCCGGGTCACGCATGCGCGGCAGAAGTTGTGCCCGCAGCCTATGGACACGGGGTCGCAGAGGTAATCCAGGCAGATGGCGCACAGGGCTTCCTCCTGAAGCATCTGCACGGGGCCGGATGCTGAGTCCGGTGCGGCCATGTTGCAGCTCGGTGGACAGCCGGGGCGAGCCGGGGGCGCCTGCGGGCCGGCCTCGGGGCTGCGCGGCTGCTGCTCGGGGCGGCTTGGGCTGGCGCTCACAGGCCTCGCAGGCCGCGGACCCCAGGCCCGGCCACGGGCCTCAGACTCGCAGCGGCCCTCCTCGCGGGTGCGGGCCGGAACCGGGCCGGGCGCAGGCCTCACGAGCGTGCGGGTCAGAACCGTGCTCGGGCCCGCCGGGCGTGCGGGCCGGAGCCGGGCCGGGCGCAGGCCTCACGCAGGCCTCACTAGCGTGCGGGCCGGAGCCGGGCCGGGCGCAGGCCTCACAGGCGTGCGAGCTAGGCGCAGCCTTCCTCCCGGTGTGGGCCGGGCGCAGTCCTCACCAGCGTGCGGGCCGGGCGCAGCGTTCCTCTCAGTGCGGGCCGGAACCGGGCCGGGCGCAGGCCTCACCAGCGTGCGGGCTCGGGCCCGCTAGGCGTGCAGGCCGGAGCCGGGTCGGGCGCAGGCCTCACAGGCGTGCGGGCCGGGCGCAGCCCTCCTCTCAGTGTGGGCCGGAACCGGGCCGGGCGCAGGCCTCACCAGCGTGCGGGCCGGAGCCGTGCTCGGGCCCGCTAGGCGTGCAGGCCGGAGCCGGGCCGGGCGCAGGCCTCACGAGCGTGCAGGCCGGAGCCGGGTCGGGCGCAGGCCTCACAGGCGTGCGGGCCGGGCGCAGCGTTCCTCTCAGTGCGGGCCGGAACCGGGCCGGGCGCAGCGTTCCTCTCAGTGCGGGCCGGAACCGGGCCGGGCGCAGCCCTCCTCTCAGTGCGGGCCGGAACCGGGCTGGCTCTCCGGCGCAGCCCTGGCGGGCGTGCAAGCCTAAACCCTGCTCGGGCGGCCGGGTGCGCAGGCCGGACTCGGACTCCGCTCCAGACCACACCCGGGCCCCGGCCCAACGCAGCGGTGCGCAGCTTCAGGTGGCGGCCGTCCTCAGAATCCGCTTTTTGCGACTCTTGTAGGCGAGGCTGCCGGAAGTGACGTGGCCGCTCTGCCCTCCCCCCTCCCTCTTCCGGTGGGGGCGGGGCGGGCCGCCGTGGAGGACAGGACGGCGTCTCGGTGGTGCTGCGGCCCGCCGGCGGGTTCCCGCGCGTCCCACCGCCCCGGGTGGGCAGGCCCGGAGCGCGGCCGCCGCGGACCGCTGTCGGAAACGAAACGCGGGAGGCTGAGGTCTGAGGATGGCGGTTCGAAGCCAGCTGGGCAGGAAAGGCCGTCATCCGCTAGGATTGGCGCTATGACCCAAGTGGCCAAGTGCTGCTGCCTTACGCCGAGGCACTGAGTTCAAGTGCCAGGACACGCGCCTGCCCACGCACACGCACGCGCACACGCAATGCACACACGTGTATGTGCCCACGCACATGCACACACATGCACGGGCACACGCACATGCATACACACGCATGGATGCACACATGCACGCGCACACGCACATGCACGCACACACATACACACAAGCACACACACACGCACAAAGCATCAATGAAACTTGAATACAAGTCCCTGAGACACTGAGATTATCTGGTCCTAGGATGAGAAGAAACAAAAGGGAAGAAAAACAGCCTTAGAGGCCCTTTGGATGCCAGCGAGCACAAACTTCATACTCAGAGGATCAAAAAGAGAGGAGAAAGAAAATGGCGCGAGTGTTTGGGGAAATAATGACTAAACATGTGTGACATCCAAGGCCTCAGCTCTGCCCCACCGCGGTCAAGGTGTGCATTTAAAACCTTGACAAATCACAGGTTGGAGAAGCTCAGAGCCTCATCTAGATGCATGTAAAGGTTAAGTGAATCTTGTCAAACTGATTGGGTTGAAAAAGGCTGGGATACTAGAAGTGAATGCACACCTTTGGTCAGAGCTGATGGACTTGCAGGGCCAGTAACTAAGGTTAGGAACACACCTTGAATACGTGGGCAGTGTGGTTCAATGCACTGCGGTCTTGGATGGAGAAAAGGAGACAGACAAGTTTCTATCACTTATGAATGGCTTCTTCTGCCGCCATGCCAGAATCTCAGACTCCAGCGTCTTTATCCTTTCAATACAGACTCACAGGAGTAACCTTCCATGGAGCTTTGTAGGCGTCAACCTCATATGCTGCACCATTACCCCCTGCCCTCAGTCCTGAGGCTTTCTTTCTTTCTTTCTTTTTTAAATTGAGCAGCTACCATGTTATTTAGCTTTCCACATGCAGATAGCCATTTCTGTGCAGGCTATCTTTAGCTTTTAATTATGTAAACTTATCTTTAAAAAAAATCTACACACACACCTTCTATTAGGAACACATTCTGTTCCTCAACAGAACCTGGAATAACATGTAACCATGAAATTACTGAAGGGAGAAGAAGAGATCCTGAAAGCATCAAAGAGAAGCAACTTGCTATGGACAAGTCATCCTCAGAAAGACAGACTACCAGTTTCTTCTCAGAAACCTAAAGGATATGAGATATTGGGATGAAATACTTCAAATTCTGAAACACTGTAGAGCAAGTAGAAGAGAAATAGATATACCAGGATTAAAAAATGTCCTACAAGGGGGCTGGGAAGGTGGCTCAGTGGTAGAGCGCTTGCCTTGCATGCCTGAGGCCCTGGGTTCGATTCCTCAGCACCACATAAGCAAAAAGAAAAAAGCCAGAAGTGGCGCTGTGGCTCAAGTGGTAGAGCGCTAGCCTTGAGCTGAAGAGCTGAGGGACAGCGCCCAGGCCCAAAGTTCAGGCCCCACGACCGGACCCCCCCCCCCCAAAAAAAATGTCCTACAAGAAATGATAAAGGAGTCCTTCAAACTGAGATAAAAGAACCCTAGAGAGTAACTCAAAAGTGTATGAACAAAAAACAGTGGTGCAGCATCTAAATACATGATTATAGCAGTAATATCATTGTATTTTTGATTTACAACTCATTTATTCTCCTGTTTTAAAAGACAAATGTATAAAGCCATCATTTTAAAACTGTGTTGATAGACTTACAGTGATGCTATTTTTGTGATGATAGTAGCACAAAAATGGTGAAAGAGTAAGCTATATTAGAGCAAACTTTTTTTAAACATACAATTGAAATTAAGTTGGTATTAACACAGACTCACTTGAATTAAGATTTTTATTTATGGTCCCAGGACACCTCCAGAAAAATAACTTAAGCATGCATGCACAGATGCGCACAGACACACGCGCGCGTACACACACACACACACACACACACACAAGGTAGGATTACGGATAACACTAGCAAAGTTAAAACAATACTCTAAAATGATTAACACCAAAATTCCAGTAGTGATAAAACAGAAAAACAACCTACAATACATACAGAAAACAAGTGGTCAAATAGCAGGTGGAAGCCCTGCCTGCTCAGTAATTACATTAAACGTAAATGAATGAATCAGCCTTATAATTAAAGAAAGTACAGAGAGTTCAGTAAGACTAGGTAAATATTACTCAACTATAAAACTTAACTATAAGACATAGCTTAAATTCAAGCCAAAAAGGCATGAAGTGAAAGAATAGAAAAAAGATAGCACACAAAGAATACCAAAAGAGAGATCAAGTACAAAAACTAATATGAGAGTAAATAGACTTTATAACTGAACTTTTACTGGAGATGGAGTAGCATGATATAATGTTAACAAGATAAATAATCACAAAGACACAACAATCATAAACAAATTTGTGCCTGACAAAGGGCTGCAAGATCCATAAAGCAAAATTGATAGAACTGAAGGGAGAATAGGCAATGCATTTTTTGTTTGTTTGTTTTTTTGGGTCCAGTTGTGGGGCCTGAACTCTGGGCCTGGGTGCTATCGCTCAGCTCTTCAGCTCAAGGCTAGCACTCTACCACTTGAGCCACAGCGCCACTTCCGGCTTTTTTCTTTTTGCTTATGTGGTGCTGAGGAATCGAACCCAGGGCCTCTGGCATGCAAGGCATGCGCTCTACCACTGAGCCACCTTCCCAGCCCCTAGGCAATGTAATAGTAACAGAGACTTCCATTTTCCACTTTCCACATGGCTAGAACAACTAGATAGAGGATAAACAAGGAAATAGAGGTTTTGAGCATCAAATGAAACCAATGGACATGTCATTCAACAACAGCAGGGTACATATTTTTCTTCAGTACATTTTCCAAAATATGCTATATCTGGGCCATTAAACAAGCCTCAACAAATTTAAAAACACACAAATATGTCTCTGTGACCACTTGGGAATTGTCTTAGAACTCAATAAATGGAAAAAATCTGGGAAATTCACAACCAGGTAGAAATTTAAAAATATACCGTTCAATAGAAATTTTTAAAAACCACAGGGGAAATGAAATACTTTGAGATGAATTAAAACAAATATACATCATGGAAAAACTTTGGGATGTTGCTAAAGCAGGAAGTAAGGATTAGAGTGACTAAAAGAATAACAGGGAGGTTTTTGGGTAATGGAACTATTCTGTGTTTTGACTGTGGTGATGGTTATGCAACTCTATGCATGCATTATAATTTACAACACAGTAATACACAAAACATACACATACTCAAAAGTTAATTCTAACAAATGCTAATACAAAATAAAACTACAGACATTAGCATTCACATAGATGATTGTTATTACAGATTTTAAATGATAGACATCCACCAGACTCTCATTATAGAATTTCAAGCTCCCCAATTCATTTCCCTGTACACGTCAGTTACAAAATTGAAAGATTTGATTTATTAAAAAAATTAAGAACAAAACATGGATGCCTTTTTCTGCTAATACTCAACTGAAATTCCCAAAATAATGAAAGCATAAAGCCTGGAAAGAAAGGACTAAAATCATAATTATTTATCAGTAAGGAAAAGGGCTATAAAGGAAACAGAGTTCTGCCTCCTTTTTCGGGCAGCTGCCGGGCCTGAGGCTGACCTGAGCCAAGACAGGAGAGAACTTGTAAATGAACTTGGGAGTTCTAATGCTAAACTGGGTTAAAAGCTTTACTATTTAGAAGAAGAAGA